CAGGGTCGCTATGGGTCAGAACCGACTCAACGGCACTTAACAACATAACAACAACAACTGTCTAGTTAGTTATTTCTACTCCACCCCCTATCTCTGCTAACCATCCAATAACAGTGCTTTCTGCATATATACCTACTCCTGACTTTTGTACAAGTGGTTTTATGTGATGTTTGTTTTTTTTGCGATTGACTTATTTCACATAGGTGCCATCCATGACACATCACTATACCATCATGCATGATTCCACTGTTTGCATATATCATCATTTGCTTATCCATTCTCCTGTTGATTCATTAACAACCTTCATTCCATCTACAACCTCAGTTCTCCCTATAGCCTAACAGGTTCACAGGTTTGCAGGGATTAGCACACTGGTATCACTGGGAGCTGTTATTCTATTGACCACAGTCCCTCTTGTGTGATTTCCTAGATGATGAACTGAAAACTTTTGTGTTGTGTATTTTTGCCTTTAGAGACTTTTGCTGTGAGATTTGCCAATAACACTTCATTATGGGGGACATTCTGGCTCATGAATCCGAATTACTTGGACTAGTGAGAGAGGTAAGTCTGTTACAGCAGATGCCAGTCACAGGGAAAGAGACCGTGGAAACCTGTAGTTTATGTTTTAAGATGCAATGGATCCTGTAGTGCCTTGTAGTATCTCTGTGGTTGAACTGGAATTATTTAATCTGTTTTCTATTACATTTCCATGTGTTTTTATTTTGTTTTCGTAAATAACCTTATTTCTTAAAACTGCGTTAAAAAGTTGTTTAAAGAAAATTACATCAAATCCTTATGGAGTCAAGACATTTTGTAGTCCCTGAAACCACTGGCTCAAGATAATCTTTAAACCTTTAAAAAATATTTAAATAAAAAAATATCCCCTGAAATCTCCTTAAAACCAAATAGTTCAGTTTAGTTAGTAAAGCACGCCTGCTTGGATGGTTGTGCATGTTTATAATCCATCTACATGGAATCTCAAGGAGCTCTGGGAACATCGTGCTTACAAGTCGGGCTGCTAACCTCAAGGTCAGCAGTTCAAAACACCCAGCTGTTCCAAGGGAGAAAGATGAGGCTTTCTGCTCCCGTAAAGATATACAGCCTCAGAAACCCTCTACAGGGTCGGATGAGTCGGTACTGATAACCAACCAACCTACCAATATGGGATCAAAGACGCACTGATGGTGCAGTGGTTAAAGTGCTTGACTGCTAACAGTAAGGTTGGCGGTTTGAACCTCCCAGTGGCGTCATAGGAGAGAGATGTGGCAGTCTCTGCTTCTGTGAATATCACAGCCTTGGAAACCCTGGTGCCAATTAAGGAGCCCTGGTTGTGCAGTGGTGAAGCACTCGTCTGCTAACTGAAAGGTCAGCAGTTTGAACCCACCAGCCACTCCGAGGGAGAGAGATGTGGCTGCCTGCCTCGTATAGCCTTGGGAACCCTACGAGCTTTGAGGCAGCTCTGCTCTGTCCTGTCATTCCGAATTGATGGCATTATTCTCTGATAAGAAGACTTTAGGGGATGTTTGGGGTTTAAGGTTTAAAGAGTATCTCAGGGCACAGTTTCCATGCTTCATCCAGTTTATTGGCTTCAGAAAATCTGGGGAGTAAACTTGGAAATTCCCATGCAGAGGGTTGGACCAGTCTGGGAAATAGCACACAGTGGTGTGTCACTGTAGGGTAAGCACTTTACTATTAACCACAAGGTTGACAGTTCAAACGCACCAGCTGCTCCTTGGGAACCCTATGTTGTTGTTGTTATGTGCCATCGAGTCGGTTCCGACCCATAGCGACCCTGTATAGGGTTTCCGAGGGTGTAAATCTTTACGGTAGTAGAAAGCCTCATCTTTCTCCCGCGAGCAGAGCCAGGACTGACTCAGTGGTACTTAACAACAACAGCTAGAGGATGTGTATATGGAGGCGGTACAGAAGGGTGACGGACAACAGGGAGGAGGAGCCTTCCACAGGGCAGGGGGCGGAGCCTTCCACAGGGCGTGGGGAGGAGCCTTCCACAGGGCGGGCCGCGGGAGTGCTGGGTGTGCGCGTCGCTGTTGATGTTTCCAATTTTGTGATGTTACCCATCTCTTAGGGACAGGGAGCCCTGGTGGCTGTGTGTCACCATTTCAAACCCACCAGCAGCTCTGCGGGAGAAAGATTTACAGCCTCAGAAAGCTACTGGAGCAGTTGGACTCTGGCCCACAGCATCTGTAGAAGTCGGAACCGACTCATGGCAGAGGGCGTGGTTTGGCCTTGGTTCTTAGGGACACGTTTTTAAATTTTCTTCTTGTTTTTTTGAACAGTTTATTATGGTTTGGGTGAAAATTTACAGAACTATTTTTCCATTCAACAATTCGCACACGTTTCCTTTCGTGACTTTACATGCAATCTCCTCAGGACGGACCTCACTTCTAATTCTCTTCCTGTCCAGTATCTACTTCCCAGAGAGCAAAGCCCTCAGGCCGCTGGTGGTCCCTCTTGCTTTTTCAGACTGCTGTATACACTGTTTTGTTTCTGTTCATTACTCTCATGACTCACACAGCTGACATTTTCCTCATGAAAGCAGACTTCTTTTCTGATACTGCTTTTCTAGGCTTTTAGAGTACACATTGATCAGTAAATCCTGAGCTGGATCCCAGAATCACTCCACGTCTCCCAAAGAGGACGGCACAAATTCCAGTGTACTCACTGCCATCCGCTTACTCCTGCCTCATAACAAGCTATGCGGGGTTTCTGAGACTAAATCTTTACAGAAGCAGACAGACTCATCTTTTTCCCGTGGAAAAAGCCTAGCGCCTAACCCGCAGCGCCACCAAGTCTCCTTTAACCCGTTGTACCTGGAAGATAAAAGTGTCTGGTGCGGTGACATCAAAGACAGTTATTTTGTTGATGCTTAAAACAGAGTGAAAAGTATTTTTTGTGTTTTTTTCACAGTATTTAGATTTTGCCGAATTTGAAGACACTTTGAAAACATTTTCAAAAGAGTGCAGAGTAAAAGGGAAACCGTTATCTAAGACAACAGGTGGCTCTTTAAGAGACTCCACATCGTTGATCATTCAGGTAACTCTTAGTTTGTTTCTGATCTCTGTAGATGGTTAGAGTGTGTTGGAATTGTTTCCAGGGACCTGGTCAGAATCACTTGTAGACTGCTCAGTCACGTCATTGTTAAATCTCTGCATCCCACCTCGTACACCGTGGTGACATCAGATTTCCCTCACACAGCCACTGGGGCAGGAGTAGAAGGAAGTTGCGCAGTGCTTAGGGGCGGAGAAATATAATCCCCATCCTGAAGAGTTGTTACTTCTAGACTCGGGGGATTCCAAGGTGAACAAAACAGAACTAAACCTCTGTTCTTACTAGAAGGTGTTTGGCCTTCTAGTCTGGGGAGGCTAGAGGGACCGAGAGCCAGAGCGATGCTTACCAGGCCCCGCTGGTGTCAGTGGCCCAGACACTCTGTCCCTGCTGACTCTCAGGGCTGAGGAGGACCTGGAAGTCCTTTTGCCAAACACCACTTGATGACTCAGTCCTGTTTATAACACTCCGGGTAAGTGACTAGTTCCAGTGACAACCAACCATTTGCTGAGGCAGTGTATTTCATCTCTGGATGAATTTCATTGATTCAGCAAATTGACTGACTTTAATAAATTTCCGCTGCTTGTCTGTTCTTGGTCCCCGTCTCCTTAGTTGCTTGACGTGAGGGGCCGAGGTGGCCTGTGCCCTCTGCCCAAGGCTGCTTTGGGCCTGAGGCACCTGGGTACTGAGTTGCTGCCATTTCAAACACAGACACCCCTGGCATCAGTTTTTGAGAGTATAAAACAGGAGTGTCCTTCGTGTATAATGCACTCTCATAAGCAGTCACCATATGCATAGTGCCCATAGGAAGCTAATGTGCCAGGGGACTCGGCAGTTGGTAAAGAAACAAACGTATGATGCATGTGTGTGTGTAATGTGCTGTTATTAAAGGTGGAAGAGCTTGTTCATCAGAGCAAAGCCTCTTTTCCTAGCAGTCTGAGAACCAAGTCTTCTGACTCCTTCTGGATGCAGAAGGATTGTAGGATAGACTCAGAGACCCCTGAATGGCTTTGTGGGTGAGCAGCTCCACGTAAATGTGAAGCCAGCCTGTGGGAGGACAGCTGATCCTTCAATGAGTAGGCGAGAATGTATCTTTTGTGATGTTCACACATGACCAGATGATGTGGTGGTCCAGGACAAGGCCAACAAGCTGTATGTCTTGGAGTTTCTTGGTATAGCTGACACTTTTGGAAATGGCTGCTGTGGAATTGACATCACAGCTCAGCTCCAGCTGCTTCTGAGAACACAGATACCTGTCTCTTCAAGTCTGTTCGTATGGAACTTGAAAGACTTGGAAGATTCTGACTACCATAAGCACATCTCTTCTGCTTCTCCAGTTAGTAGCTGTGCCTCATCGTGATGACTCCCAAATAAAGAAGACCCCGGGCAGTGTCTTCTCCATGCTTGCGGTCAGGAGCACACCAAAGGCACCATTTCCCTGAGCACAGTGCTCTGGGAAATGTATGTGTACACACAATGTTCCTTACATTGTACAGATGTCCTCATCTGGGGGATCTTGGCTGAAACCATGGTTCATAGAAGATCATTGATATTTTATGAAGATCAAAGATTACAGCTGTCAGTATGGGTTACACCTCAATGTAAAGAAAACAAAAATCCTCACCACTAGACCAATAAATAACATCATGATAAATGGAGAAAAGATTGAAGCTGTCAAAGACTTTATTTTGCTTGGATCCACCATCAGCACTCATGGAAGCAGCAGTCAAGAAATCAATGTATTGCGTTTGGCAAATCTGTTGCACAAGACCTCTTTAAAGTGTTGAAGAACAAAGATGTCAATTTCAGGACTAAGGTGCGCCTGACCCAAGCCATGGTATTTTCAATAGCCTGATATGCATGTGGAAGTTGGACAATGAATAAGGAAGATCATAGAAGAATTAATACATTTTAATTAAGGTGTTAGAGAGAATATTAAAAGAACCATAGATTGCCAGAAGAACAAACAAATCTGTGTTGGAAGAAGTACAGCCAGAGTGTTTCTTAGAAGCCAGGATGGTGAGACTTTGTCTCTTATACTGTGGACATGTTATCAGGAGGGACCAATTCCTGGAAAAGGACATTATAATTGGTAAAGTGGAGGGTCAATGACAAATATGCAGACCCCCTAAGGAGATGGATTGATACAATGGCAGCAGACATGGGCTCCAATGTTACAAAAGTTGTGAGGATAATACAGGACTGGGCAATGTTTTGCCCTGTTGTGCATAAGATCACTGTGAGTTAGAACTGTTTGACGGCACCGAACAACAGCAAGTTTGCCAGTTGGTTTTTGTATGTGGAGGTGTTTCTTCAAATTCAGGTACCAGTACTAGGTACAGAATGTGAGTCCTAAGTTAGGATGGATGACAGATAACGATTATAATGATGTAGCAGAGGTTTGCAGGCCCAGATCTACTGGTGGAAATTGAGGCCAAACTGGAGAGGAACCGTTTGACATATGGGCTCTGCCAAGCCACAGACGGAGAATACCTTGACGCCAAACTTTACAAGGCCTGTGTGGAGTCTGAGCTCGCTTCTTTAGTTCCATCCAAGTGCACCTGGTCATTGGAGTGCTCAGGGGAGGCCACCGCCCTGGAGTTTGTACCTCTGTGTCAGGAGTCAACAAGAACTGGCGAACCCTGCAGGCAGGTCCCCCCAATACTTCCAGGTGGTGGCTGTGCTCCTCTGCTGGTGCTTGGTTTGGACAAGCCCCTGCCCAAAATTACCAGCTTGTTTCCAAGGCTGAGGAAAAGAAAGAAGCTGGTGTGGAGGAGGCAGAAATTCACTGTGTATTTCTTCCATTGGATTCTTCAGGGCCACTCGTTTCAAATGCCTTCGGAAAACGGAAATGCTATTAAAATTGTTTTCATATGAATTCAGAGTAAGTTTTTAAAATGAGGGCTTATTTTTAAAAAGTCTAGGTTTAGTGCAGGTATATGCTAGCCGCTTTCAGAGTTACATGGTAGAAACCATGGCCCTTTGGGGCTTTTTATTCGTTTCCCATTCAACAGTATATGCACGTTTTGTTTGGTGACCTGGGTTATAATCCCCTCAGTGTAACCGTGGTCTTCTCACACTTCCCTGAATGCTCTGTTTCCATTTACCCTTCATTCCTGCCCCTTGCTGACTTTCCAGCTTTGTTTGGGGGCAGATGCTGCCTTTTTGTTCTCTTGCCGGAGATTATCCTGAAGAGCACCTTCTTCATGGTGCTGTGGCCTGAAAGGTGGTCCTCGGGAGTGAGATAGTTGTGCTTGATCAGATGGCGCAGGTAACATTTTTGTAGTAATTACATGTAAATTCCTGAATGTCTTTGACCTCAGTCTAAGAAAGCCCTGTAACCCTGCTTGCTCCCTGTGTGTTTGCATTTCACAGTGCTAACTAATAAGGTCGGTTGTAAAAAGAAGTAAGCTTATGTAACTAGTAAAAAAGAAAGAGAGAATTTTGCAGGAAAACCATTTAAAATTAAGTTTGGAAGAACAGTGAAGAGTGATGGTTGAGGTTGGTGGGGGTTGGTGACCCTACAGCAAATCCCATCTGAGCAAAGCTTTCTCAGTTGTTTATAAAATTTACATCTGATGGCCATGGGCTTCGGAAACAAGAAGGAAAGCCGTCGGAATCTGGTGGTGTTGGACTACTGGGAAGTTTTTTGTTTGTTGATTTTGTCTTTTACCTTGTTGTTGTTGTCAGGTGCCATCGAGTCGGAACCGACTCATAGCGACCCCATGCACAGCAGAAC